ACTAAAAAAGAAGCTATCATTAGTACTTTTAATATTTAAAATTCCAATAATTTTGTTTATTTGCCAATTTTGGATACTCTTTTCATATTCTCGTGCTCACGTGCGTTATGCAAGAATTCATGCTTCTCCAAATTCTGATTGGTTTTTCTTTCTTGGCAACGGCAATTCCAAAGCCGGAAAATGATCACAAGCCGCGAGTTATTAATAAGGTTTGTTTGTAGTTTTTATGCTTCAAAATATTTAGATATCTTTACAATAAAAGACTTTCATTTTCAGTTATTCAAAAATGAAAACAATTTCTTTGATAATATATACAAATTTTTTGTACATAACCTTATGTTAAAATAATTTTATACATATAATATATACTTTTTTCATAATATTTTCTTTTTTATGCTAAAGTTTATTAAGATAAATATCATATATATTGTGAATGAATATTTAATTCAAATAATTATGCATTTATTTATATCTTTTTTTCACATTTTTTCTAAATAAGATTTATTTTAGGAACCAAACAATGAAGAACATTATGTCAATTCTCAACATAATCCTGCCTATGATCATGAAGTTTTTTTAGGTGAAGAAGCAAAAACTTTTGATCAGCTTACTCCTGAAGAAAGTACAAGAAGATTAGGAATAATAGTTGATAAAATAGATAAAGATAATGATGGCTATGTTACTGGAGAAGAACTTAAAGATTGGATATTATATTCTCAACGGCGTTATATACGGAATAATATTGAACATCAATGGAAATCTCATAATCCTGAAGAAAAAGAGAAACTTCCATGGACAGAATATTTAGCAATGGTTTATGGAGATATGGATGAACAGGAAGCAGAAAATCATGAAAAATCTAAAGATAATACTTTTTCATATGCTGCTATGCTTAAAAAAGATCGTAGACGTTGGACAGCTGCAGATTTAGATGGTGATGATGCTCTTACAAAAGAAGAGTTTGCTGCTTTCCTTCATGTAGAAGAAGCTGATCATACAAAGGATATTGTAGTATTAGAAACCATGGAAGATATTGATAAAGATGGTGATGGCAAAATATCTCTTTCAGAATATATTGGTATTTTTATTTTTCTTTATATTTAATTTATATAAACATTTGTTGGAGATTATTTAAAATCAATTTTTTATTAAACAATTTAATATTTTTTTTATTTAGGTGATGTATATGATGGTGCAGAAGGTGAAGAAGAACCAGAGTGGGTAAAAAATGAAAAAGAGCAATTTTCTATGTATCGTGATAAAGATGGTGATGGTTTCTTAGATTTGGAAGAGGTGATATATATATTTTTGCATATAAAATATATATTCTATCTATTAAAATGCAATCATATAATCTATCTATTAAAATGCGATCAATTTTTATTTAATTAAATATTTTGATTTAGGTTAAAACTTGGATTATTCCAGCTGATTTTGATCATGCAGAGGCAGAATCTCGTCATCTCATATTTGAAGCAGATACAGATGCAGATCAAAAACTTACTAAAGATGAAATATTGAAAAAATACGATATTTTTGTTGGTTCTCAAGCAACTGATTTTGGTGAAGCATTAACTAGACATGATGAATTCTAATATCATACATAATTTTCGAATAATACTCTTAGAAATAAACAAAATAACATAATTGAAATATGAAGAACATTTATAAAGCATTTATTAGAGATATTTATCTTTACTAATAGATTAAGAATCGAAAATGGCTGATTTTTATTTACCTCATTGTAAACAAAAAATCATTACATCAAAATGTAAATATATATTAATCATTGTAATAAATTTCAAATATTTTAAATATTGTCTCCCTTATTAAAATAATTATTTATTATATTATATTATAATTATTTATTATAATGATATAATTATTAATTAGTATTCTAGTATGTTTCTACATACATAATATTAATTGTAATTTTCTCTTTAATCTTTATCTAGTTCAATATGATAATATACAATGAATAGCTGATACATCACTATGATAATGCTTAATTTTATCAGATAAGCTCTATAAATTGAATATGGTCAATGAAATGATTAGTAAAGTAAAATATTGAAAACATCAAAATGATGAAAATTTATTTTTGTGTATTTTTAATTATTTATAAAGGATACTTATTATCAGGTAATGATATTTGAAATAATTAATTTTTGCAATTCTGTAAAAGAATTAGAAAAGAATAGTAAAATAATATTTGTCATATATTTTGTAGTTAATGGACAAAGTTGCTTTGAATATACATGGATAGCTCCAATATTTGAAAATTCTAATAAGTATAATTGTTCATCAATCAGAAATAGCCCTTGCATTTCTCCCCCTTTTTATACAGGTAAAAATATTTTTTTTTATATAATAGATTTTTTTTTAATCTAACTTTTATATAAAATAATAATAATAATAATAATAATATATTTTTATTTATATTAATAATACTTATTTCAAATTTATATATTAATTTATATATATTTTTAATTAACAACTAATATATATAATAATACCATATAATACTATATACAATAATTATTAATTTTATTTTAGAAAAACCACCAGATGTAAATCAATTGTGGGAAACAAAACAAAAATTATGTTCT